TGCCATTTCGATGTTAACATTGTCTAGCAGAAAATTAGAAAAAAACACTGAGAAAAACCCATTTTGAATGGATAGGACTTAATGAGGATTTGATTTTTTTCTTTAATTCAGTAATTTTATAACCTAATGGCATAGTAAAAATCAATACAGGGTATATTAAATGAAGTGTTTTTCTTTTAAAGATATTCTGGAGCGTGTACAATAATATCCCTCCTGTGGCCAGTCTGCCTTTGAGATGTAGCTATCATTTAATGAGAGGAGAGAGGCGACCACTTTGGTAAGTGTCCAGGGTTGAGCCGAGGTTGGGGGAGGGGGTGATTGTCCCCTCATTAAGTACTTGGTGCTGAATTGGAGTGCAAAGCTCTTCTCCGCAGGTGCTCACGTCATTCCAGCTATTACTTAATCATGAACTGAGCCCCTCCCACCACCCGCTCACAGGGCTAGGATGGCAGCAGGGTTTCTGGGTGCTCTTCCCTTAGGCCCCCGGTCTCACAGCCCTGGCTAGGCTCTGAGGTGTGGTGCGGCCCTTGGCGGTGTGCATTCTAGATGGTCAGTCAGGACTGTGCAGTTGGTGGGGGGTTGAGGGACAGATGGGGGTTCCACCTTGTTGTATGGAACAAGTTCATGTCACCAAAGACACCTCTCGCCCATGATAAAAGCCTAATATGCAAATCGTTCTCTCGCAGAACGCTGTGGGCAGGGACGTCCTCTGATCGCTCAGTGCAGTGATGGGGGACAAGGCCAGTGTGCCTGGGCTGGAGTCCCAGTTCGTAGCACATCCTTACAGCATGTGCCTCAGCTGTTCTGAGTTACATACTCATTAATAAAATGGGAACGCATGTCATCTTCTTTGGTAGCAAATGACAGGAATGAAATCTGAGCCAAAAAGTGGAGTCCGGGCCTGTAGCTGAGCATCCAGGGAGGGCTGAGGCTGGCAGGTGGTGCTCAGGGGCTGCAGGGCCGGGCGCTCGCTCTGCCGGGCCTGCTGTTCTCCTCCCGTTGGTTCAGTTCTCAGGCTCTCCCATCAGGGTGGCAGATGGCTCACAGTACCTCCAGTCTTGCATCCTACAAGGTTATTCCTGTCAGCTTCACCACCCAGGAAGGGAGCAAGGCTGCTCCCATTGGCTCACACGGGATCACAAGCACCCGTCCCTGCAGCAGCGTGTGCAGCCACCCCGGCGGAGTGGGTCTGGCACAGAGTGGGGACACGTGGCTCCTTACGAGGCAGTCTGGATGCTCTTACCAGAGAGGAAGCAGATACTACACAGGAAGACAGAGCCCATCCCACCAAGGGGCTGGGGCTCCCAGGAGACCCGGCGGCCATGCCCTCGCCCTGTGCTGCAGGTGGAGGCCCTTCCCTGGCGGAGCACTGCGCTAGTTTGTCCACCTGCTCGTCTCGGGTGAGGGCGGGGTGTGCATCCCCTCCCTGCCCTTGCGGTCACTGAATTCCACTTAACTCCCTCTTCCTCCCACCCCCATTCTTTTTATTTCATCTATGTCTGTTTTCAATAAAAGGACTGGGGGAGAGTTTATTGAAGAATACTGGTTGTTTTTTGTTTTTAATGTCATCTGTTGTTAAAGTAAATGTATGTACAACCACTTAATGCTTGAGTCTAACTTTAGACGTTGGTCTTTGACCCAGGGAAGAGGAGAGTAATGCGAAGGGCGGCGTGTGGAAGATGAAAGTGCCCAAGGACAGCACGGTAGGTGCTCGAACCTTTCCTAGAGCTGGCTGAGCGGGGGTGTTGATTGCAGCTGATACATTTTGTGCCTCCCACAGCCTGCCTGGCGGCCTCAGAACAGGCCTGGGGGGCGAAGCTCTGTGCTGACCCTGGTGGGGTTTTGCCTTACATACTGCCTTGCGATTATACCCTGTGCTTCTCTGTGGAGGTGGTGCGGTCCTTTTACTGTGTCATATAGTCTGAAGAGCTAAATGCATAAGCTTTTACAGAAGCTTACCGTCTTTCCGCACCAAGCGTAACTAGCATGTGGATGTTGGTTTTACAACATGAGAAGCAGGGTCCTTCCCACCAAAGGCTCGTGGAGACGGGCACATGGTTCTAAGGATGACCACGGCATGGCGAGCGGGGTTTCCCGTGAGGCTGATGAGAGCTGTTTGGAGGGAGGGCCTGGTGGGATGCTGATTTGCTGTGGCCAAGCCTTAGAAACCTCCATCTCCCCGGGGGCGGGGGGGCGGGGGCGGGACTCTATTGTATCATAGTGTCTGAAAGTGAATGTTCAAATCTGTTCCTAAGCCCTGGGAAACCAAAGGCTTCTTTGAAAATAGCTGATAAGGCAGATGCTACCCATTCTCACCTTTTCGTGGTTTCTTTCATGTGGATAAGCTCAGAGCATTGCAGTGTCTCCAGGACCCGTAGGCTTAAGCTGGAGTCATTGTCCTATAAGCACAGACCTAAAGATGCAGCCAGATTTATTGGTTAAAGAAGCGAACTCTCAGGGTGTATAGCTCCAAAATTTGCCTGTTGTTTGGCCTCCTAATAAAACATGCCAGGAAGCAAATGCCCAGTCAGGCAGGTAAGGCCTGGGCCTTCACTCTGTCCCCTTAAGAAGGAGAGGAAGTAGATAGTGTAAGAAGAGAGAAGAGAGGATGTAGGTTTTTAAATTTCAATAAGAACAAGTTTTCCTTATGCTGTTTTCTGACACGAGGCTTTGGATTCTAGTAGAAACACTCCTGATGGCAGCTTTCCGGGAAGAGGCTGGAAGGCACGCCCTTCCTTGTTAGTGCCCTTGGCCTCACTCGATCCCACATGATACACTGCACGTCTGTGTGAGCATCAGCTCCTGTGCAGTGCGGTGCCCGCCTACTTGTCAGTGAGTGGGCGTCCGGTAGGCCCCCGAGACAGGGTGGACTTTCCCTCTCCCTCAGCTTCATCACCAGGCGTGTGAGGGACTCCAGCTGGGACAGATAAAATAGAAGGGATGATTTCTAGATGGGAGACAAGTAGCCCAGAAAAGAGAAGGAAAAGAAACCCCTTCTTGAGAGGAAGAGGTCATGATGGCTAACTGTCATCTGGGGTAACAGTCCAGCGAGGCTGCCTTTGGCTCATTAGAACGGCATGGTAAGCACTGATGCGGTTCACATGGACTGAGCCCCTGGAATAGAGCGAGCATGCAGCTACTTATGAAACAGTGAGTCCTTTGAGTGAATTTGTTGACTAATTTGTGGTCAAGGCAACCCTGAGTGGTCGGCCCTATTGTTCTCCGTTGGCCTCTGGAAACACACTCAGAGCAGCTGGTGGCTGCCCAGCCAGGTCCTCAGGCACTAAGCAGCCTGTCCGGACTCAGACCCAGTTCCGGGAGAGTTCAGAACCAGGGCGAGGGGTAAGCGGGACCAAAACCTCTTCAGGGGGCCGCTGGAGGGAGTTCTAGGCCTCGGGAACCTGGATGGCTCTTGAGTAGAAAGGACTCCATTGTTTCTCGCTGGTAGGAGGTAGAGCAGACACCACTGGTTTTCTGGGGAAACGCACACACAGACTCATAGCGCCTGTCAGTAGCGCAGACGTCTGGAGGGAATGGGCATCTGCATGTGTCTGGTATTCAGTAACCCGGAAACCTGAAGCGCTCTTTACTGGTGAACCTTTAAAGTACCTTAGACACTGCAAGGGCAACAGAGAAGAGGATTTTGAAGAGAAGGGTTTTACTAATAACATTCAAGTGTAACTAGAAAGAGGTAAATAAATCAGAAAACGATGCCATTTAAATGCATTCCACCCCCCCCCCCATTGTTTTAATTTCATCCGCGTGTCACTAGAAATAGCTTTGTGATGAAGGACACCAAGGTTCTGGGACACGAAGCTAGTGACTCCGGGTCCCTGCATCTGCCCCACAGGTACTCGGGGAGCAGCACGGCACAGGCCGCCTGTTTGCACCTGTTGCTTGGAGATGTCTGTGGGCTCTAGACACGGGCGTGGAAAGTACACAGGTTGCAGAAAATGGGACTTTCTTAGTTCCTGGATATAATTGTCGAAAAATATATGTATGTTGTATTTTGGTTTTGTTTTTTGTTTTCTATTCTTTTTTCACACCAGTCCACAGTTTGGAAAGAGTTGTTGTTAGCGACTATCGGGGAACAGTTCGCAGGCTGTGCCGCAGCAGGTAAAGGGCCGCGCGGGCGGGTGCTTGCCTTGTCGTGGTACTTGCAGAAGTTTGTGTGTTTGACTTTTTACATGTTTTGAAGTTGTTTATTTTGTATTGTGAAGTTACTTAGATTTTTTCATGTGATTGTGGCATTCAGTGTTATGTGTGTATGGACACATGCATATTTACATGTGTGTCTACTATACTTATGTCTGTGTATGTGCATGTGTATGTGCCCTCGTAACTCACCTTAACAGTATCTGTGGTCCTCTCTCCAAGGCAAACAGGCAGAAAGGAAAGGAAGCGTGGTTCCCAGTGGGCCCTTGGAGCTGGTGTTAGGTGGACACAGTTCTTCCTGCCCCTCCAGTCCCTGCCCCTCCTCCGGGCCCTGGGGTCCCCTGCGCACAGGGTTTGATAAGGGGTGGGCATCATTATTGGCTGTGACCTCCCACAATTTCGGCTAAAATATAAGGTCTTCAGGACTTGACTTTGGAGACCACTTTCAAATACTGAGTGAATTTCTAAGGGCCCCCGAGAGCACATTTTTATTTTGCTTTTTTTGTATGAAACCACTCAAAGAACTGCTCGTTTCAAGTTGTGTTTTTCATGGGTAGTTCCTCTGGATGATCCTGAGGTAACGTTAGGATAACATTTTTTCTGTTTAGCTTTCAGTTAGGATTTTTTAAAACAAACTGGTGTAGCTAATTTGCCAGCCGCTATGTTTGTTGGCTGTGTGATCTTTAGGGGCCGGGCCATGGCAAGCTTCCAGCTCATCCACCGGCAGTTCCGAAAATTCTGCTTTTGTTTTGCTTTCTTTTTAGACCACTTTTTTTTTTTTTAATTAAGACAAAACCTGGGTTAGATGAAATTGTCTTAAAAATAAGATTCCTTTTATTTTAACAGGGAGTGGTTAGCAACTTCACAATATTGCAGCCAAAATGCGTCCGAGGTATAATTATAAATACAGACATCCCTGGGAGAGGAAGTTTTCCATATGAATTATTCGTTTCCAGAACCAGGGAAAGTTACCTAGTGATCATAAATAGCAGGATTAAGGAAAGGAGACCTGTTGTTCTGTGGTTGACTCGGGAAGGCCAGCTCCGCTAATGATGAACCATTAGCCTCCCAGAAGCCTGGCTCTGCCGCTTGCAGCCAGTCAGCTTATCTCGGCCGCACATACTCCTTGAGCCACGCTCCCCTGGCTGTGATGTCCCAAACTAACCAGGCTCTGCGACCGACTCCGCTCCGGGCTGCTCCATGCTTGCTGAGGGGCCTGCCTGGGCACAGGAGCTGTGCCACGCCAGGCTGACACTGGCCGCCGCACCCTCAGCCCCTCTGGCCAGGGTGCAGAAGTGGGCAGTGGCAGGGCTGGGATGCTGAGGGCTGAGCAACGACCTCATGGCCATTCCTGAAAGGGATAAACTGCAGGGCTCCCCTCTTCACTCGGTGCTTTTATATTCACATGAAATTTAATGGAGGTGAGCTGCAGCAAGTATATTTTGAAGGTGTAAATAAAACAAAGGTTTTGATGGAATAACAAGTCCCTGTTGAATGGCTGTGATCAGGGACTATTTAGTTTTTTGGAAATTTTTGGTAAATGTGACATTCATAGGAAAGAATAACAGCTGTAACATGCAGAGCTTGATAACTGTTCGCAAGGAGACAGACCCTGCACCGAGCACCCAGGGCCCCTCCTCGCCCTCCTTCCCAACTGGCCACCCATCCACCTGCAACATCGCACATTTGTGAAAATGGAACCATTTAGTGTCAAATTATAAATGTTTAGCTGGACCAGATTCATTTAAAAGGAAAATAAAGAAGAGAGAGACAGGAAGAAAAGGAAGGAGGAAAGAAAGGAAATGTTTCCCTGAAGAAGTTACTTTGATTTACAGCAAATTAGGCAAAGCATGTTTATTAAAGCGACATTGTCTGCTTCCGATTCTTGCCTTTCTCATTTCACTTATTGGTGCAGAGTGTGCAGGTGCAGAGAGCTGACCCTGGTTCATTAGTGAGCCGTAAACACATAAAAGCCAGGAGTCAGAAGGCTTTAGCCTACACAGAGTGGCTGCAAGGGCGCGTGTGGGAGTAGAGCAAAGCCTACTTCTCCAGCTGCCATTCTCAGATGTCGACAAGGTGCCCTACCTCCACAATGTAGCGGCTTTTACAAAGACCTCCGTGAATTAATGTGGGCAAATGCTCGCACTCCACCCGCTGTAGCACTGTCACAGCAGAGCCTCCCTCGGGAAGCATGTTCTCTCTCTTCATGCACGGCGCTAACAGATAGATGGTCATTGATTCTCTAGCCACAGCCTCCAAGGCCACACACAGAACGGGAGTGAGGCCCTGGAGAACGAGGAGAATTCATAGGAAAGGAGACAAACCACCAAAAGCAGGCAGAGCAACTCGAAATGCACAGTCTGGGTCCAGTTAGTGTTAGGGCGGAGAGTACTGACCACCCGGCTAGCTGACCGCTTGGCAGGGAGTGAGGAGACAGACTCCGTTTCAGCAGAGACGGTAGAGCTGGAGGAAGGTGCACGTGCGCTCACCTGGCTCTCGGAGGGCAGAGCTACGCACTCCTTCTAGAAAAGGTCTCCTCAGCACAGTAAGGGATAGTCAGAAGTGTTGGCAACGTGTCAGAAGGATGAACCACGTATCTGGAAATGCGTTCGGCTGGAATCCTTTGTTTATCGAAGTCCCTGGTCAGATGTGATGTGATTGTTACAGCTTTCGCCCAGTAACTTGCTTTTTGTCCAACAGTTCTCTTTAGAAACAAGCATTTATTATGGGTGCTCTTGTTCCACTTCTTTTTAGCTTATTCATAACTTACAGATAAGATGATAAGTGTGTAGAAAACAAAGCTGGCAGGCCTGAAATTGTCGCTCATTCCTTTTTCCCTGTCTTCCCTCAGATGACGAAGTCATAGGCGTCAGCGTTAGCGTTCGGGACCGAGACGATGTGGTCCAAGTCTGGAATGTAAATGCCTCTCTAGTGGGCGAAGCAACCGTTTTAGAAAAGATCTATGAACTCCTGCCCCACATATCTTTTAAAGCAGTATTTTATAAACGTAAGTGCTTCTTTCCAGTTATTACTTTCTAGATCATCCTGTCATACTTTTAAAAATAGAAACTGTGTTTCAAATGAGGTGAAGCCAGAATCACTTGAAATTCTATAATTCAGAAAGTATTTATGAAAACATTTCAGTGTTTTTTCAAAAGTTTAGTCTCAGAAATTAGAATGAGATTAATTCTTGCCTACTAGTAAATGCATGGATCAGAAAAGGAGATACATCTTTTATGTATCATTTCAAAAATTTAAACCTGATCTTGAATTTGGCATTCTCAGAAAAAAATCACCTTTGTGTTAAGCAACAATAACCAAAAATGTTGCTGTCTGAGCGGGCAGGTAGGTCTCAGTCATCCCCGGCAGCAGGGGTCTGTCTGTGTGGCATCTGTGTTCGTGGAGGAGCTGAGCACAGGGACGGGCTGTTCTGAGACGCCCACACTGCCTGGCGGTGATGGGCACACAGAACGAGGGATGGGTGACACATTCAAGTATGACTAGGTGTGTGGACCCATTGTTTCCATCAATGATTCGTGTTCATTGCTTTGTGTGCTCTTTTGAAAAAGTCATTTTTGTCCAAATGAAAACAGGCTAGCGCCATTAAACCCCTGTTTGGTAGCTCTCACCGTGGGCCGCAGGCGCCAGTGAGCTGCTGGAGCGCAGCACGGCCGCCCTGCCTTGGGCACATTTCCTGTTTCCCAAACTGATCGAGAGCCAGCAGCTCAGTGTTTAACTCCTGTACCCCACTGACTCAAAGGTGCCCCGGTGATAAGCATCATTTTAGAATTCCTAGGAAAGGAAAGGAAAAGGCTCCCAGGGAAGCGGACACACGGTTGATTCCAGGGTGCCCCAGGGGGAAGGAGGCACATCTTAGAATTGCTAAAATAGGCTTCATTTATTGCTTCATTTTTCTCAGCCCCCTTGCCAAAAAAGGAGGGAAAAATCAAATTTTGTTCCTTCAGACGTCACACATCAGGCGGAATGACTGAGAACCGCAGCTGCCGTGTGTATTCAGGCGACGCCCAACTTCCGATGTCAGGCGACAGTTTACATAAGAGACAAAGTTGCGGGCGGAAGTCCTTCGCTGCTGTGTGGTGGAGCAAGTGCACATTGTAGAGACAGTGTCATTCCTTAGGGAGCAGGAATTGCATTTTCAGTCCAAATGTTAATTGGAAGGCCATTGAGGGGTAAACCACAGCAGGAACTCTCTGGAAGGGAGCCTTGCACTGCCATTTTTGATGGGGCTACGCACCCTTCCCGCCCTCGAACCCACGCCGCTGTCACGCAGAGAGGAGAGGCGGTGCGGACCACTGACAGGCACTCGGGCTTGCCTCAGCAGTGACCTTCAGCCAGTCACCTTGTCATCCGCACTCTCATTTAAGTAGCCAGGAGGTTGGTCTTAAATGATCTCCAAGGTTCCTTCTACTTCAAAATTATGTGATTGCATTTCCAGGTACCGTGTTGGTTAGCAGCCAGTCCAGCGGATATGAGAGTGTCATTAGGTCATTTGGCCACAGAGTGATGAGGCCATTCTTTAGGGCAGTGGCAGCCAGCAGGTGAGACTGAACAAGAGTGAGCCCCTGCTTAGCTTTGTGATGGGCAGGCGCGTGGGGATCCCGACAAAGGGAGAGCTGGCCACAGCTGAATCGGCTGAGCAGCCCCCTAAAGATAGATTCCATTGGCAAGCTCGTGGGGATGCAGCACCGGCTACAGGTCTCAGTGGAGTCCATATTGTAATGGTGTAAACTAACATCTAAAAACACTAAGGTTATTCAAATAAAATTTTGAATTGGAAAAAAAGAAGTAATTCTCTTTATTTTATAAAAAGCAGGCAGTCCTTTACTCAGTAGAGCTCTGTGTGCTACAGACTTGATTTGGAAAACTGAGGTTTGGGCAGAAAGTGATTCACGGCTTGATGAGGAGCAGCGTGGAGTGAGCTGGGTGAAGCGGCCACCTGCCGGTGTCTGCCGTGCTCCTGGGACCCGGGGTGGGAATTTCCTCACAGGCGCACAGCCCGGCCGCACGGCAGACTCCCCCAGGGTGGATAAGAATCGAGTGTTGATAAGTTATATAAGATTTGGAGGAAGATGGGTTATTTGACCAAGAAACTGCTAATGTGCAGAGAGCCCTCTCCCCAAATTCCGTTAGGTTAGCAGAGCAGCTGAATGGCAGATGTCTTTTCTGATGTGAGAGCTGTTTAGAGCAGAGGTTGGCAAACTACGGGCTTCAAGCCAAATTTGGCCCCTCGTTGCCTGTTTTTGGGCTGCAACTAAGTGGTTTTCACATTTTCAAATGGTTGAAAAAAACACACAGAAAAAGACCTAAAATGCATGAAAACTGTGTGAAATGTACATGTCAGTGTCATGTATGTAGAAGGCATATTGGCACCTAGCAATGCCAATGTGTATACATATCATCTGTGGCTGCTTCATGGCACGGTGGCAGAGTTAGCAATTGGCACAGAGACCCTATGGCCTGCAAAGCCTAAAATCTTTATTCTGTGCCCCTTTCCAGATAAAGTTTGCGGAGTCCTGGGTTTGAGCATCTCTGTATCGCCTCTCTCCAGGCTGAGGCAGTCATCTCTGCCCCAGGCCTCTCCCAGCCCGTGCAGGCTCCATGGCCCATCGATGCCACACCACGGGCCCCTCACTCTCAGAAGTCAGGAAGTCTTAGGATAGTTCGGATCTCTTTATTTTTATTTTTTTGTTTTTCCTCACCTGACGATATTTTTCCCATTGATTTTTAGAGAAAGTGGAAGGGACAGGGAGAGACAGAGAAACATCGATGTGAAAGAGACATATTGATTGGTTGCCTCCCACACGCGCCCCAAGCAGGACCAGGGATCAAGCCTGCAGCTGAGGTACATGTCCTTGATCAGAATCAAACCTGAGACCCTTCAGTCCAAGGGCTGATGCTCTATCCCCTGAGCCACGCCGGCCAGGACTCAGGTCTCTGGATTTTTATCCCCGGAGCCGAGTTGCTGAGGTGCGTGGCTCCCCATGTGACCAGCGGTATGCCTACTTGATTGCAGACCAGACCAGTTTTCATGTGTCTGCCCTGAAAGTCTTCCTTAAAAAAGAAAAAAAAACACATAAAAAGCTAAATATCTGTATTTCTCCTCGCGAGAACTGTTCAGTTAAACCAGTTTGCTTGCCAGGCCACCCTCAGGAGAGCATAGGAGTGCTGCTCTGAGTGTTTTGTCCAGGAGAAGAGCAGGCCGACCCTGCAGGGAAGATGTAGTAGCTGTGGGAACCAGGACTAAATCCCGGGAGGAACCTCGGAGGCGAATGGGCCGCCAGGCCTTCCCGGACACCTCCACTGGGGGGTAGGTAGGGCCGGGGCAGCATCAGGGGTCTGCACTTGCCACCAGACTTCCCGTCTCCCATTTCCCACTTCCACTTTTTAAATGTTAAGTCTTTGAAAAATAGTTCTGATAGTTTTTTTATTCTCAAGTTTTTTTAAATGTCGTTAGTAATTTTGAAAGCCAGGCAGTAGAGCTGGGAGGAGGAAATATGCTTGGGAAAAATAAAAACCCATCCACTTTATGGGCTTTCGTTTCCCACAGAGGGCGTTCAGAGGTGGAGACATCATTACTACCCCCGGTTTGTTCTTTGTTTTGGTTTGGTTTGGTTCTATGTTATTTCTAAAGGCAGGCTCGTGCGCCAGTGGCCTGCCTGGGTAACAGGAGGTCCCTCCCTACGCATGCGTTCTGTGGGTGCATTTTCCCTGCGGCGTTTGCTCGGAGCCCAACGTGTTCTCTCCGTCAGCTTGTCGGATGACTCACCCTCCCGGCACAGCGAAAGAAACAGGCAGTGTGCCCGCTGCGTGCTTATTCCTTGTTTAATGTTCATTATTACGTTTCTCAGGAAATGCACGCCTGCGCTCAGTCACTGGCACAGAAAGGTATTTGAGTTCTTGCCAACATTTGGGGAAACAGTGAGATAGATGCCTTAGAGAAGGGTTGCCCCATCCTTTGCTTAAAGTTTTCTTTCCTTTTTTTCTTTTTTCTTTTTTTCTGTCCTTTAGCCCATGAAGAGCATCATGCTTTTGAAGGTGGACGTGGACAGCACTAATTGCACTCTGTAAAGAATGCTTTGTCCTTTGCTGATTGGTTTTGGAAACAGTCTTAACAGGAGGGAGAGAAGAGAAGACTTGCCGAAGTCCGATGCTGGTCACTTAGTGGGTTTCTGTCCGGCAGACGGGCAGTTAGGGCTCCAAGTGGCAGGTGGGGTGGGGGAAACTGGGTTTCTACCGTCACATTGCTTGGTTTTGTTTTTTGGTTTTTGCTTTCTGTGTTCTTTTCACTCCAATTTTTTAGCCCTTTTAAATTCCATATTTGGTCTAATTATTGTTTGTGCACTCTCCTTTCGTGGAGGCACAGGAAATCAGTCCCTTTAAGTGGCGGGGCTGTACCTAGTCATAGTACATGCATCCTCGTGACAGGACTGCTTCGGAAACCACGCTGCTCTCGCAGGAAGCCCGCTGGTGAGACCTGTCTTGGTTATTCCTGGTTGTGACACACTCCTACGTACCATGTACTGGGCATTGGGAGAAGCAAAACCACACTTACTCAGATGTTGCACTGACAGCACACACATCTTTTATTTTTCCTTTTTAAAACTTCTTTTTATAGCTATAAAAGGAAAGTAATCGTTGGGTTAACTCACATGAAAACTGTAATGACACTTGAGTATCAGGATACAACTCAAACTCTAGGTTTGGACTCTGTGAACATATTTCTAACGGAGTGTCAGTCGGGCCTTTTCACAGGAAGGTGAGACGGTGACGGGCTTCCCCAGATGAGAAGCCCCTTCCGGTTTCAGAGGAGAGAACTCTAGTTGCTTGTGAAGTTGCTTCTCCCACATTTCGGGCGTGCGCCCACCTGGGGCTCTCCACATCGATAGACACCTCTGGTTAAATGACCCCCTTTCCTGCCCAGATTGTGTCATTCCAGTGATGAGCAGTCCCCCAAAATGGGCAGCTTCGCCTTTTTTTCATTTCGGGGCAGGAAGGTAAATCTCCTTTCCAAAACGAATGTGAACATTTACAAAGTTGAACTTGGAGTGCATATTTATTCATATTAATTTTTGGAGTTGTTAATCTGTATTGTATTCTGTTACCAAAGAAATTCTGGTTTCACTGGAAGGAAACGGCCACACTTTGGAACGCTGAGACCTGCTCAAAGCTCCCCGTCTCATGCCCTGACCGCCGGCTTCTGCTTTTGCTGAGGGGGTCGCTTGAAGCTGCCTGTCCTCCTAGTGACCTTTGGCGCCAGGGTCGCTCGCACTATTGAGGCCTGCGCCCACCTGGGGCTCTCCAGCAGGACTACCTCCAATAGCTAAAATGACCCCCTTTCCTGCCCAGATTGTGTCATTCCAGTGATGAGCAGTCCCCCAAATGGGCAGCTTCGCCTTTTTTTCATTTCGGGGCAGGAAGGTAAATCTCCTTTCCAAAACGAATGTGAACATTTACAAAGTTGAACTTGGAGTGCATATTTATTCATATTAATTTTTGGAGTTGTTAATCTGTATTGTATTCTGTTACCAAAGAAATTCTGGTTTCACTGGAAGGAAACGGCCACACTTTGGAACGCTGAGACCTGCTCAAAGCTCCCCGTCTCATGCCCTGACCGCCGGCTTCTGCTTTTGCTGAGGGGGTCGCTTGAAGCTGCCTGTCCTCCTAGTGACCTTTGGCGCCAGGGTCGCTCGCACACGCTTACACATCACACAGAAGGGCCGGGTGCTCAGAGCTTCACTGGACCCAAGATTTTTACTCTCCAGCAGAGAGCCAGGGAGGGCCTGCAGGCCTCCAACCTGTGTTTGTAAATGAAGTTCTTCAAACATTTGAGTGGACTTTCTGCAGCATCTATTTATGAAAGCTGTGCCCTTCATTTGCATCCCTAACCATGTCAACCATAATAACAATGGTCATAGTTTTTAAAAGAATGCTTTGTTTCTAAACTTGAGTTTCTTCAGTGATTTTTAAATGAGGTATAAGGATATCAGACCCATTTTTCAAAAGCCTGAAACTTGTTGCTTTAAATATTGTACTAACGTCCAACATGTTTTTATTATTCATCAAGAATTTAAAAATTATTCTGGACATGAATTAAAATTCTTTTTTATAATATAAGTATTTTTCTGATAGATTAGAAAAAGGATATAATTGACTTATCTTCATCATAATTGTCATATACATTTTCATAAGTAAATGGATTTTGAAGTAATTTTATTTTTGAACTTTATTTAAAGGCATTGTGATATGTTCAACTTTTGCATGTATATAGCTTTTAAAGTAATAAAATAAAATAAAATTAGGAATGTTAGGTTCACATTAATGTTTTCTAGTTTATATTGTTTATGATCATGAAACACGGGTTCACACACAAAGTGGGTTTCTGTCCGGGGCTTGTTGTGACCCTGTGGAAATGCCAGCGGTGGGAAGAAGTTAGTTTGTTTAAGAACTTAACACCTAAGTCACTTTAGGAGAGGATTTTGTCAGGTTTTGCTTTCGAAAATGTTTAATTGAATATTTAGCTCATAAGAGATGTATGAGCTAAGCTAATGTAATCAGTTAAAAGCCTCTCCTTACCTTCTTGGATTAAAGAAGCCAATACTCTTCTGAGACAAGGAACTTTTGTGGAGCATGTGACTTGTCTGCTGGGGCAGCGCACCCATCTCGGCCGGTGCCGGGGACGTGGGCCTCTCAGTCGGGTTCTGGAGTGTGTTTGGCCGGTCCTAGCAGGTGCGCACAGGGCCAGAGGGCCCTCCTCTTGCCTGGGTTCCAGGGATGCAGAGCCAGGGGCTCGGACCCGATGCGTCCTCACTCCCGGGAGGCCCAGCCGTGAGAGCAAGCATGCCTGTTCACATGGGGAACGGCACTGACGGGTGGGCTGCTGCTCAGAGAGGACACTGTCTGATTCCACTCCCCCCTGCACTCACCACTCCTCCCCATCTTTAATATGAGGGGAGAGTTTACAGCGAGCACATGTAAACTATATATAGTAAACTATTATTTACTGTATTGCGGCTGTTGAATTTATGGTATAGTTGATGGAGAAAAAAAATGAAAGGAAAACGAATCTAATAAACCGACTCTAGCCTTCTCACCTTTCTTCTTGAATTTAGCTCATGTACCCAGGCACAGACTTTATAGCTGGAAGAAGTTTTGAGTAAATTGGGCCCATAGACGCAATGCACAGTCCACCCACCCACCTGCGCTTTGGTCGAGGACATGGGCTACCAAGCACAGAGCTGGGCTTGGAAGTCTTCAGCGCCGCCCCCCTCCCCCCGCCCCCCCCAGTCCAGGTTCCTTAGCCTGAGAGCCGCATCAGCCTGACCCCCGCAAGCCTCCAGGCAGCACCAAGCCTGCCATCTGGCCACAGATGAGGCTTCCTTGCCAGAAACAGTGCCTGCCCGCTTGTCCCTGTGCTCTGCCTGCAGCGGGGCCACAGGGCCGTGGAAAGGGGCCTGACTGGCGGGGGGCGGGCGTTACTGGGAGGACCTGTCCTTGCACCAGCCCTCGCCCTGCAGAGCCATCGCGTGGTGGCGCTGCCCTCCCGCCCGCCCTGGCGGGGCGCACAGTTTATTCAGCTGTTTGTGTAATTATTTTGAGAGTCCTGCATTTTGCTCTCAGGATTTTATAAAATGTGGTGCTACCAGGAGAGGTTTAGCCCTCCTGCACCTAATGAACCGTCGGATGGAATTCTCCAGATGTGCCTAAAGCCACAGCTCTTAGGCTCTCAGAGAGCCCTTAAGCAGTTCCAAAGGGAAAGAATGAAATAAAGGAACATGTAGGAAATATTTTCTCAACATTGTGCCCAAAGGGAGAAGTAAAATTGCAGTTTGATTTTTTTAGCTTTGTGAATATATAACTCCCCTTTTAAAATGTGTCTACTGTTTGACTTTTCCTGTATTCTGTGTTTCTGTAAGATTTCACTCATTATAAATGAAAGTAGAGGACTGCCTGTAGTAGTTTATTTCTTAAAAGATCAGATCAATTCAGATCAATTAAAAATTACTTAAGAGTTTGGTAATTCAGGATTGTAAAAACCCCAGGAAGTTCTCTCACAGCTGAGAGGAGTGGGCAGGGAGGAAGGCCACAGGGAGGTCTCCACCACGCCTCCCGGGAAACCAGACAGATCCCCGCACGTCTGCCGGCCGCCCTCCGTTCCAATTGCCTCTGTCCTCGGAGCCTCTGGGACACTTCTGACTTAGGTCGGAAGTCACCTCCGCTGCTGCACAGGGTCACCCAGCCGCCCGCACGCTCAGAGAAGCAGACTCAGAATTTTAGAGTGGAAGGGACCTCGGAGATCATTGTGCGCCCAGCCCTGGCGCGGGGCAGTCAGGGGTGCTCCCTGAGTGCGAGGCCTCCCAGCCCAGCGCCCCAGGCTGCCTGCTTTCCAGCAGCTGCCCCTGGTGCCAAGGAGTTGGTCCTCAGACCCCCCTGAGGGCGCCCCTGACTCCATCCTGCCCCACAAGGAGGAGATCCTCGGCCCCAGCACCCAGTGACCCGTCAGGATGTGTGACATGCGCTGGGAAGCCTGCAGAGCCTTGCAGAGCGGCTGGTGCTGCTGGGAGAGGCCGGGAGGCCTGCAGCAGGGCAGGGCCGCTCTGCTGTCCTAATAGAAAGCCTCCCTGCACAGCGGCCTCCTCTTCTAAACACCAGTTCAGCCTGTTCAGAGAACAGACGTTAACGCTCAGAAACAGCAGTCCCTCCATCCGTGCTTTTCCATAGGGTCTGCTGGCCTCGGGTTCAGCATCGCTGGGCAGATTACGGGAATGCGCAGAGCTATGGAATTGCCTGGACAGGAGCACAGGACCGCTCACACGACAGCCAGAGTGGCCCGGGTGAATTTCCACGGAAACTAACTGTCCCTCGTAGATGTAGCTTAGCAGAACTGTTCCTAAACTGCAAGTGTAAAAACCAAAAAAGGATTCCCTGCCCCGTAGGAATGCTCAGCAAAGTCACTGTGAGTCAACACGTCCGTTCTCATTGCTCCTGAGTTCCCATTGTGTGTGTGTGGTGGGCGTCCCTGCCTAGAATATCCAGTCAACCGCCTTTCGGATATTCTGTGCTCTCATGTCCTTCAGAAGCCACGAGGCTGACGGAGTCTGTGTTGAGTGTTTTTGTTTTGGTTGCTGCCCAAAAACATTTAATGAAATGCAAGATTTCATTATGGAAATTTCAACTTCTAATGTTCAAGGAAGAGAACTTTTTTTAACTTCTATATCTGAAAGAAGTGTTTATTTGGGAATTATTAAACGGGCAACTTAGCATTATAGAAATGAGCATGAAGTAAATGATTGCGTCTGTGTTTTCTATAGAAAATTAATGCTACCTCATCTTTTTACATATAAAAAGGCAACTTTTATTAAAGGTTTAAGAAGGTGAAAATTTTAATTTTAGCACTTTACATTATGATGAATGGAGAATAGTAAGAGACTTGGAGCATTTTAATAAACTTACAGGGTTTCTGTTTTCAAATTCAGCTGTTAATTCTGTGAGCCTAGATTAAATTCCTTCCAAATGTCTTAGACCTTAATCAGGTAGTTTGGCTCACAACCATTGAAAGGGTTATAAAAAAAAAGTTGTAACTATCTTCTTTGCTTATATCCTCTCTGAGATTTTAATTTCATTTACATTATTACACCAAAGGATTTTTGAGCTTAAACTTGTGAGCACATTTTAGTTTGCACCATTTGTCCCAAATGTAAAATCTTAGCAGTTGTATTTAAAATTATTCGCTTTCGAACTGTCTTACCTGTGTAAGCTGAAGCAAGTTTATTGCCTTATGTTTTGGATCTGCTTGTGGTCCCTCCCCCAACCGTGTACCAGCTGTGCCCTGTGCATTTGGGGCCCTTCACATATGGCTCCAAGCTGGTGTGATGCCCTGCCTTTGATCTGGCTTCATCCAGTGATTTGCTCAGAATTTTTAAGGTCAGAATGAAAACTTTTCTGTTCTAGTTATTTTTTTATTTTATATCATGTGTTGTGTTTGATGTTCAGATCCATGTGAAAGTTGCTTCTATAAGTCAGTAATTTTATTCCAGCCTTTTGGAGCAGTAAGGTAAGACTAAGCTATACTTTTCTTGCTTGAAAATGTAGTGATTTATGTGTTTCATGCAAATGTTTAGACTTCTCATGGAAGAGTTCTTGCACTTTTCTAATTTGGGACTATATTGCTATGAATTTGTGCTCCTTCCTATTTCAAGTTATAACTTTGTGGGCTTTAAGTGTTCACTAGTTTGTAGAATTTAATCTTTTCGAATCTG